CTAATGATTCTGAAAATCGAAGTGCATTATTTATTTATTTTTTTTATTTGAAGTATAACAAAAAATTACAAGTTTACAGAACAAATTGGCATACAACTTACATTCAAGGACAACAGTTTTAGGAGGGGCTTAGACTTACACAGAATAATAATAATAATAAAAAACAATAAACAAAAACATTCATTCTTTAAACCATCTATATTAATAAATATAGATTAAACACAGGGGATAAAATAAAACATTATAATACATTGTATTTATCAAACAAATTAACAACGTTACAGCTTTTAAATTTTTTGTTTTTGACAAAGTTTTTGAGTATTGTCTCAAATAATTCTTAAATACTATAAACATGGGGGTGATTTAAAAAAAATCTACATTTGTGAATAAAATTATTCACTAACAAAAGTAAAACATTAATAAACAAACCTTTTTTTTTACCACCTTCTTCATAGTTTCCATACTTAATATCTATAAAGGACAGGTTCAATTCAACCACGTTTCCCACTTTTAACCATAGTTGCACTTTGTCCCAGAAGAATATTTACAAGCAAAAAAAGAATGCTTACAGTAACCCAATGCAAGTTTGAATTTTCACGTCATTTTGGCGCGCCCGCCCTCAGCTCACGCACACGATCTCGGAGGGCGCGCGCGCTCGAGCAGCACACAGGCGCGAGATAAAGATGGCGGCGACGGTGGGGGAAACGGCGTGATATTCTGGAGTAGTAGCACTAAACCTGAGTGAAACCACCGTATGACAGACCATAGCGAAATGGAAACCATGTCACAGTAGGCGTTTACTGGTAATACCAAGTACTACAAACTCACCTTCCCCCCCGAGACAACATTCATCTTGTGATTGTGGAGAAACCTCACCGGGAGCATGGCTTCGCACAGCAGCCAGGTAGGAAAACACCTCTGCCTCTTTTTATGTTGCGTTTTAGCTCATAATGGCGTGCGGAGTGTGTGTTTTGTCTCGTGCTGTACGTTACTTACCGTCGGAGTGTGTCTTTTGGCCGCGAGTTTGTGTGTGGCCCACGCGCTCCTGCAGCGGCCTGGCCACGCGTTAATAACGGTCATTAGCAGGCGAGCGTTTCTGAACCTACCGCGCTTTTGGCGACGTTTCTATCGGATATCCTATGTCTACCCCCCTCCACCTGGTACAGTAAGAAGGTATGAAGTGTTTCTACAAAGTGTCTTTAGTTCAAGCGAGTTGAAATAGAGTCGTGTCGTGTGGCTAATGTAGTATAATAGGCCTGTTGATTGGGGGCGGTATCGCTTCATGTCTTCAACCTCATTCAAACTCTTTCGTTTGAGTTTTTCGCTTGTTTATTGCGCACATGACATCCATTACATCTTCAGTGACCGTTCGTCACTGCTAGAATGTATTTTTAGCAGCTTTAGAGCGGGTTTAAAGTCTGCTAACTTTAAACGAGGCACCACGTAGATGCTACATCATTGTAGCTCTAACTGTTAGCCGCATGCTGGATGAT